GCCATGAAGATCCATAGAAAATCTCGGCGAAGATTGAGGTCCAGGTACATCATGCTGATCGAATGAAGCTATCGGAGAACCGTTGGCAACATAAGTTGTACGTAGGCTTTGAGTGCTTGTCGTTTGCGTTTACAGGGATGCTGGCTTCCGCTTCCGTGTCGATGAGGAACATGATGGAAGAACGTCGATCTTTAACGTAAAACTGGCGATTTGCTTGGTTATTGTCGGATACGTTGGTCTTGCTAGTATGCAGGCTATTCACTTTTCTTGAAGCGGCTGAGTCGTATTTAATGCAGGGAGACTGACAACGTCTAGCTCTTCCAACATATTGGCGGTGATACCAACATAATTTTTTGACGGATTTGGTATGGTCGGACTGAGAATGTGCAAAGAAAATGTCGCGCTTTTCTGTCGGACGAGACGTACTCCGTGAAGGCACAGACGAGCCGCAGTGAACGGTAGCCACAACATGATCAGCATCTGACCGTGGCGCACGCAGCTTCGAAGCCTTCATTGCTGCTATCCTGCTGCGACGTGGCGCATTTTCCTCGTCTATAGGGTCAGATCGGCCTGACGACTTGGAGCAAATATGATACTTGGTTATCAACGGTGTGAATACGTAACCGGAACTACTGGTCGTCTGCTGCGGAAGACGTTTGAACGCAGCGTCTGCCTTGGTAGCTAGTTCTTTCAAGGGCGTATCTAGAAACGCGGACAGTATTACCGGCAACGGCTCTCGGTGAAGTGCAAACCACAGTTCCTTTATCTCTTCTTCGCTCAAGAATATGGGAGCAACAGTGTGGTGCAGTTCGCGGAGTAACACCGACGGCTTGCGATCTCCCAGCTTGAGACTATTGAGCTGTTCAAATCGAGCTCGTGCGCTGGGCTGTAACTCTTTTAAAATCGCTTGCTTCATCGTTTCACACTTTACCTCATTTGACGGACAGAGTAGGACGTGCTCAACCAGTGTCACAACCGACGAAGGAGGGTGTGGGACGAGCTGATTATACCTCCGACGGTCCGTCGTAATGCTCTTACTTTCCAGTTTGACCTCGAATATCGCAAATGAAAGCGCTGGGCTGTGTTCCATGCAAATTGGAACAGCCAAATTAAGCTTTTTAAGCTGCGAAACGACTCAGCTGCCATTTTTGAAATGGGAGTCGAAAAGATCAAGGAAGAACAAAAACACGATGAAACCACAAAATTACACAAGAAACAAATGAATACACGCATAGAATCGAGCAAAGTAACGAACTCCCCAAAAGTACAAACGACGAAAAATAGTCTAAATTTGCGCGTGCGAATCGGGGTCACCAACTTGTAGGACTAGTAAATACTAGTCCAAGATGGTGCACGAAATTAATACCAGCAGGCAATTAAAGTCGGACACAGCGGACTGTATTCGATGGGCTTCAAGAAGACGCGGACTAATGAAGCAAGAATGGAGGAAGACGTTAGCATGGGAAGTTACAAGACGGTCGAGTGCCGAGCCGGATGTAGGTCAACATGGACGTAATGTAAGGGAGATTAAAACACGAAAGTATAGTGTACAATGAGTCATCATTGAAAATGTACACAACAGATAATAGTTGTCTTTCGGGACGCTACTAGCCGCATGTTCATTAGTAAGGCTAAGAGAAAATGTGTATGGTAATTTCAGAATCGCAATAGAATCAGGTTCCAATCAAGCTAGTCTCGACTTGTAGTAAGAACACCCGAATTGGAATTCGAATTTCGAGGGCATTTTTTAACTCAATTGCTGGAAAGGAATAACAATAATCAACCACTAAATATCGTATTTACAACCATGACATCTTCTGTTGCTTGAATGCAACTTCAGGTTTCTGTATTACTATTAGGGTTTTGTTGCAATCTGGCGGACCTTCTTCGAGACAGACCTTGAGAATCTGAAACTGAATTGTTATCAACATTTTCAGTGCACAGAATCAAATGACAACTGACCGGAATCCTTGTATCGTACCTGATCAACATGCCATTTATGTACAGAGCAGTCATCGAGATCCAGAATTTTAACCATACGACTTCCAAGTTTGTTAACAATGATTCCGGATGAGAAACGTAAATCATTACCGCTAAAATAAGATACTTCAGCGGTCCGCAAACCAAGCATGTTCTACCTCAATGGTCTGGATTTACACAGTTTAACTGGTTTATCGCCAGTAGTGGAGTGCCCACAGTTACGGTATTGCAGAAGGAAGTTATCAACACAGTGATCAAGTTCATCAAAAGAAGTAGGAGCACAGGAGGTAACAGCACGTTTTAAAGTTGCAACAAAGTTTTCAGCTAGGCCATTAGAGCATGGATGTCGTGGAGCAGTAAAAAGGTGATGACACCCAAGACTGCAGCCAATTGGTAACAACTGAAGCTGAAAAGTAGGAGGCATTGTCACTTACAACAGCTAATGGGACTCCTTCCCTACTAAACACTTTTCTCAAGGCACGGACAGTAAAATCAGCATTTGGTTTATCAGTCAGGAATAATTCTGATCACTTTGAATAAGAATCCACCACCACAAGTGCATAGTACTTCTGTAGAAATGGTCCACAGTAATCCAAATGTATCCTTTGCCAGGGCTCGCATGTCATCGGCCATTACGTCCACTTAGACGGCTGCTGTAGAATCTTGTGCTCACACTTCGGGCAAGCAAAAGCAATTCCTCAAATATCTGCATTTAATTCCTGCTACTAGCACAAGCACCGAGCTAAGGATTTCATCTTTTCATTACCAAGATGACCAGAATTTAACTCTGTCAGAACAGCTGATGGCAAAGTCGGCGAACTAACGACACGGTCTTTCACACACAGTACTCCATCAGGTGCAACTCACAACTCATCACAACGCATATAAAACTGTGGAAAATGCCGTTTTAGAGAAACAGACCATCCTCGTTTGACAGCAGAAATCAATGACCCGTAATACTTTCTAGTCTCGTTGCTAAGGGCTGAACGAGAGATTGGAAGCGGCTGGGTGAGTAAACAACTCATCTCAGAATCGGCTTCGAATACCGTTGCATTTCGCGATAAGTAGTCGATGTGAGGAATGAACTTTGCACTTCTGTGCTCAACCACATAACTGTACGCGCTACGAGTAACACTCTACCTTCGAACCATAGCTGCTGAAGATTTAGTTAAAGGACTGGCAGGATTGTAAGTGAACTTTATAGCTTCATGATCTGTCATAATAGTAAATCTGAGACCAAACAAATATTTGTGAAGTCTATTGACTGCCCAGTATACAGCCAAAGCTTCTCGATGACTCTGAGCATACTCCTTTTCAACATTGCTTAGTCAATGAGAGATACACAGCACAGGGTGCCAATCCTGCTCGAACACAGCACCTATTCCGGTTGGTGAGGCATCTGTGAAAAGCACGGTTGGTAATTTTGGAGAGAAAAAGAGCGATGAACACCACCAGATGCAAGTATTTTCAAATGGTTTCGGAGAACATGCTTATCTTTGTCTAGCCAAACAAAACTTCTCATTCAACAAGGCGAATAAAGGATCAACAGTTGATGCAAAATTAAGAATGAATTTGGTATAATACTGTAAGCCTCCCATCAGTAGTCGAAGCTCATAAACATTGGTGGTCGACTTCATTATGTCGATCTGGTTTGAATCCTTCAGATGTAATACGATAACCAAGACAACTGATCTCTTGGACACCAAGTAGACACTTCTTTGGGTTGATGTTCAAATTTACATCCTTGAAGAAAGATGTTAGTAATCACGAATCATGAGGGTACTTATCGGCAGCATGCATAAATACATCATCTTGATAGACCACAACACCCTCCAGGCCTTTCACAATGGAGTCATCACATCTCGGAATATGGCTGCCAACACATTAAGGCCGAAGGGAAGAAATCTATACCGGTCCAACTCAAAAGGTGAATTGTTGGTAGTCAGTTCCCTAGAAGCGTCAGTGAGTGATATCTGCAAATATGTACCTTTTAAGTGTAACTTCGGGAAAATATTGGATCCATACAGACAAGCAAGAATAAAATCAGGTTCTTCTGTGGCACAACTAATCTGCAGTAGTTGCCTATTAATGGTAATGCGGTAATCGCCGCAAACTCTCGGTATTTGTCCATCCGGCTTTAACGGTGTGACAATAGGTGTGGCCCGTCGCGAACTTTGTACTGGTACAATAATTCCTGCTTCATAGAGAGACACAAGGGCCTTGCGAACAGATTCCATTAGCTCAAACGAAGTATATGAAGTTTACAGAAAACTGGATCATCGGCTACTTCCAAATTAAAAGGCGGGATTTTCATTCCATCAGATGTTACTGAAAAATCATGCAGTAAACCACG